GAGCCCAGCCGCAGGGTGTCACCAGTGGCAGGGAAAAGCCATATCCCCTCGTCCCCCTCCTCCCGTATGTCTACTTAAACCCGTCGTGCTGAGCCGCACCTGTACCAACATGCCACCGACACGTTAGCGCTGCTGCGGCCGAACCACGCAGCATCGCTAACTGGGAACTATTTGGAATTCATAGACTTTAATAATTCTGATAATATTAATAATAATCACTAAAAGGGACACGTTGTTTGGGGCACTTCATGCCGTAAGGCTCCACCCCGCACACTGAAAAGCCTCATTCCCACGCCCGTACCCCCGCGCCTCGGCGCCCAGAGCTCGGCGGCGGCTCGCCCTTTATTGAAGTATTTCTTCCACGGGGCGTCTCAGCTTCCCGAGCCGGGACCCGCTCCCTGACCTACTTCCGGACCGGGATCTGCTCCTCGACCCGCTCCTGGACAGGACCCACTCCCCGATACACCCGCAGCCCAGGATCCGCTCCCCGACTCGCACCCGCTTTCAGACCCTCCCCCGACCCAGGACCCGCTCCCGCACCAGACCCGCCCCGACCCCCACCGGCCCCGCCCGCGGCTCCGCTCCAAGTGTGGTCGCGGGGCGCCCCCTGGCGGCGCCGCGGGGCGTCGCGCCCTTGGCGAGGGGCGGGCCGGGCTGGACCGCGGGGCCGCCGGGGGGGCTGGGAGGGAGAAGGGAGGGACCCCGGCCGCACCCCGGCCAGGGAGGCCGGGAAAATCCCAAGGGACAATAGGCTGAGAAACCGAGTGGCCGCCCCCCCTCGCTGCCTGGGTGCGCTGGGCATGTGGGTCGCCCCTGCCTTACGGAGCGGTAATGATGATGTATGTCACAGTCAAGGTTATCATCAGATATTACCGCCTGCGAATGTTGTTTCGTGCGTCTCAGCTCGTAGGGCTGCTGCTGAGAGGTTATCGGCAACGCGAGAGAAGGTGAGGCAGAGCTCTGACAATGAAGTTTTGAGAAAAAGCCTTGCATTTTGATGCATTTCTCTCCATTGTGAACTGCATTTCTCATTGCATGTGGTAATTTCCTAGAGATCCTAAAACTCAGACTTCAGAATCTGAAAGGAACTTATCAGAAAGTATACATCTGTGTATACATTTAAGTGGTAGCTCTTGATATAGAGAAAAATTTATGGGTATATGTAGACGGTAAAATTACAGGGAGTGAATGTAATTCACTGTGAATGAGCACTACTCTCTTTCAATCTTCTGCTTTAAGCAGAAGCAAGGAACCCCTGAGGGTGTCTGCCTGATGATTTGCACCGAGAAATTAATCATGCCCTGAAATTGCAGCTGAGCAGTGTGCAGGGAATTCCTAACCTATAGCTCCTTATTTCAAATGAGAAACTTATACTAAGCCTGAAACACTCATGTTTAACAGTCTTTTTCCTGACTTCATGGAGGGATGAGATTAGAAAACTGAAAAGGGTGTTGCATTAAAATTATCAGAAATCAGAGCAGGAACAAGTTTGTGGCTATGAGGGAGCACCTATTCTGCAAGAGAGTGAAAAGGACCATAGAAATTCCTTCAGAAGATACCAACACTAAATCTTACATGGGTCTGGTACACTTGGAAGCTGCTATTATTTCTCTTTAGGTCACATTACTCATTGATTAGGACTCCGTTGTATAAACAAGGAATGAAAGAAGAGCCAAAAGATTTGTACCTTGTTTTATATGACTTACAACATAAGGCACAGTGGAGAGAGAATGATGACATATCATCAGTTCTGCCTGCTACTTTCAAGAAAGATGAGCATAACAATTAAAAGGAACTGAAAAACCCTTAAATCCAATATACACCCACAGGAAAAAAAAAATATATTAAGTCTTGCCTTTTTTAGTACAAGAAATGAATCCCACATGTACAGAAACCCTCTTCTTCTTAGAGAGCTAACTAGTAAAAAAATGGTCAGTACAAATCAGTACAGTATGAATGGAAGGGGGAAATAACAAAAGAAGAATATCTATTTCTAATATAATATTTACCTATATGACATTTATGGTGTTTATCAGAAAACAGTTCCATGCACTACTTCTAATTAAATATTGTCCTTAATGGAATAAAACTGCAGCCTTCATGGAGTTATGTAGTTACTTTAGCATCTTTCCTTTTTTTTGTGAGTCGCAAGGTTGAAAACACGGATTTTGAAATTATTAATGTGGGAAAATGCATCTTAGTTATGGATTGACTTTAGAAAGTGTAGCTTCTAAAGTAACAGGTAAGATATTTACAGTTCTCTTTCTTGAGTTCAAAAAGTTGGTGGTAGTTGCAAAAGAATAGCATGTAATCAAGCTCATGCCATTTTTCAGCATTTTGCCAAGAATACAAAGGTTTCTACCAGGGACATATTGAACTTGACAGTGTGGCAGTTCTACAAGAAATGAAACTGCTCATTTCTTTGGAGTCTTTCCTAAACTAGCCCTCACCTTGAACTCATTTAAGCCAACAGCTTCAAGGGAAAAAGCTTTTTGTCTCATCTACTAAATTAAGTTATCAACAGAAAGGTGTTTTGATCAGTAGCTCCTAAGTGTTTCCCATACATTATTTACAATAATGCCAAAAAAAATAGAACACTCCTTTTCTAAAGAAAATACTGCATATCTGTTCCTGAAATATATTCGCAATATATATATTCAAAATATATCCTGAAAGATATTCGCATGTATTATCTCAATGTTACATGTACAAAAACAGAGAAAGCAGAAATGTTCATTTGATGTGAAATATTCTTTTGTCTACCTGTAACATAAGTTTGTGACAGGGACACAAAACCACTTTCCTGGTCACAGATTCACAGAATATGGTGAGTTGGAAGGCACCCATACAGATTACCGAGTCCAGCTCTGTCCCACCCCAAGAGTCACACCATGTGCCTGAGAGCATTGTCCAAATGTTTCTTGAACTCTGACAAGCTTGGTGCTGTAACCACTTCCCTGGGGAGCCCGTGCCAGTGCCCGACCACCCTCTGGGTGAAGAACCTTTTTGTGATATCCAACATAAAACTCTCCTAATATGACTTCAGGCCATTCCCTTGGGTTCTGTCACTGGTCATCACAGAGAAGAGATCAGTGTCTACCCCTCCTCTTCCCCTCATGAGGGAGTTGTAGACTGCAATGAGGTCTCCCCTCAGTCTCCTCTCCCCCAGGCTGCACAGACCAAGTGACCTCAGCCACTCCTCATACTGCTTCCAGCCAAGGTGCAGAAGACTAACTCCTCATTTTACCATTTAAATCAGTGAACTGTGAGTTCATGGGTTATTTGACCTGTAAAAAACAATTTTACTTTAAATTGTAAACAAATGGGATTTAACAATTCTGACTATATTTTCTACAGGCACGCCTTTGACATATAATGTGATGGTAGATGAAGTGCAGTCTTCTGGACCCACCCAGTAATAACCTCCGTATTAACCAAAAGTTGTGGATAAATCAACTGAGGTGTATCCACCCTGTGTGAAAGCAGTCCTTGTGTTAAATTTCACCATCAGCATGACTAAAAGAATGCTTTGTAAATTCAAATCTGTATTTAATTCTCCATCCTATCAGGACACCAGGGCCTATTACCTTGCAGCTACCAGCTATGGTCAAGAATATATATATGACTGTCTGTTGATAACATGCATAACATTCTCAAGTATGCACAATACAGAGAAAAATTACGTAATAAATTAGATTTTATTCACAGAGCTACTTAAACTTCATTTCTTATCCCTGAGTCTAGCATCTCTCATATCAACCAAGGCAGCTGTATTTTTCCCTGCATAGGAAGATTCATCATAAATTTTTATCAGGTGACAGTTCTCAGCTGGAAAGTGTCTCCCTTCACTTGAAGGTGAGGACTATAGATGGAGGATTTTACACAACCCATTTTCATATGGAATATCATGTGTGATAGAATGTCAGAAATGTGTTACACATTGAATCAAGTAAGAGTAAGGAAAATTTTGTTTATTCATGTAAAAATATCAGGACAACCCAAGACTGCAATCTGTTGTGGAACATGAAATGTTATTTTCTTTCATAAAATATCATTAATTACTAATTAAATATTTAATAAATTAAAATTAAATAAACAATGAAAACATGACATTAAAAAAAGAATAAGACATTAGAATTTTTTTGCAATATCATTCATCACAGAGCTCTGATTTAATACAATTTAATATAACTTTTGATCTCTGAATGTTATATCTTAACATTCACAGATACTTTTATCATAACATTTTTTCTATAGGTGTGCAAACTTATTGAACAACTATCAAAATTTGTCTTCCATAAAATTTTTGTGTGACAATAATTTTATTAGAAGGGCAATGAAGCTGGTGAAGGACCTGTAGCAAGTCGGCTGAGCAAGCTGTAGTTGTTTAGCCTGGGGAAAAAGAGGCTCAGGGAGGACCTTATCACTCTCTACAACTATCTGGAAAGAGGTTGTAGCCAGGTGGGAGACAGTTTCTTCTCTCAGGTAACTAGCGACTGGATGAGAGGACATAGTCTTAAGCTTCATTAGAGGAGGTTTACGTTCAATATTAGGAGAAATTTCTCCACGGAAATGGTGATTAAATATTGGAATGGGCTGCCAAGGGAGGTGGTGGAGTCACTGTCTCTGGAGGTGTTAAAGAAAAGACTGGACACTGCACTCAGTGCCCTGGTCTAGTTGACGTGGTGGTGTCCAATCATAGATTGGACGCAATGATCTCAGAGGTCTTTTCCAACCTAATTGATTCTGTGATTCTGTGAAATAAAGCCCTGTACAGCTCATATAGATGAATAAACATAAATACTACATAGCATTCTAGTGGTACAAGAGCTGTTGCATATGGTTGTACAGTGATATTTAAATGCACTTTTTTAAGACAAGTTTGTAATACCAGTACCTTATGTACTCTAACAGAAATGGTTTCCTTTCAGTGAAATGGCTAGCACTTAGAAACATGCCACCATGTTCTGTTTAAGCTCTCTTATGTTGTGGAATTTCAGCTCTAGAACGTGAGGGGAGTAATAATTTGTAAGATTAAATTTATTTTGCAATGCCTTTTTTTCTAACATCATGTTCTAACTCTGTCATCGGTCTGTGTGACCAATACATTTTCAGGTCATTCAGGTTTGCTTGGGAGAATTTAGAGACTGAGAT